AGATGGGGAGCCGGGGAAAAGAGGATGCACTGTGGTGGTGGTAATGCAGCAGTCGGGGCAGCTGCTAGAATGGGATTCCCACATTCACCTGTCGTGGATAAAAAAGGGACACCCAAGGAATGAGCCACCACAGCCCCAGGCCAGACCATGCATCCCAGGGTTCCAGCACTGGGAAAATAAAGCCTCATAACTTCTGGCTTCCAGTATAGGTTGGGTGGTAGCAGAAACTGCTGGTGTCTTGGGAGAGTCCATTGACAGGACCTGCATAATCTTACATCATACATAAAGCCACCCACTCTGGGATTTAGCACCAGGGAAACAGCTAGAAGTGCACTAGTTGCATATGGAAGTGGAGGAAGTGCCTGGAAATGGGGTAAGAGCTAACCAAGAGACATACTTCCTTCTTCAAGCCCTGCCCTCACACAGTATCACAAAGTGGTAAAGTGGGTTGCCTCACCTTGGCAAATACCTGAGGCTCCACCTCTTACAATGTAACAGGTGTACCTAGACAGAGTCAAAGAAGATCTACTTAATACACAGAAACAAACACAAGGAGGCTGCCAAATTGAGGAGACAAAGATATGGCACAAATGAAAGAACAGATCAAAACTGCAGAAAAAGAAATAAGTGAAATGGAGATAGCCAGCCTATCAGATACAGAATTCAAAATACTGGTGATAAGGATGCTTAGAGATCTCATTGAGTACAGCAAATGCATAAGGGAAGAAATGAAGGCCACACTAAGGGAAATAAATAAAAGTCCACAGGGAACCAAAAGTGAAGAGAGGAAAGTGAGGGTTCAAATCAATGGTTTGGAACATAATGAAGAAATAAACAATTAACCAGAAGAGAATGAAAAAACAGAAATTCAAGAAAATGAGGAGAGAACAAGAAGACTCTGGGACATCTCCAAGCATGCCAACATCCAAATCATAGGGATGCCAGAAGGAGAAGAGGAATAGCAAGAAATTCAAAACTTATTTGAAAAAATAACAAAGGAAATCTTCCCCAATTTGGCAAAGGAAATAGACATACAAGCTGAGGAATCACAGAGAGTCCCAAGCAAGTTGGACCCAAAGAGGGCCATACCAAGACACATCACAGTTAAAACACCAAAGGTTAAAGATAAAGAGAATCTAAAAAGTAGCAAGAGAAAAGAAGAGAGTTACCTATAAAGGAGTTCCCATAAGGCTACCAGCTGATTTCTCAAAAAAAAAAAAGTTTCAGTTAAGAAGGGACTGGCAAAAAGTATTCAAAGTGCTGAAAAGCAAGGACCTACAACCACGATTACTCTATCCAGCAAAGCTATCATTTAGAATGGAAGGGTAGATAAAGTGTGTCAGAGACAAGGTAAAGATAAAGCAGTTCATCATCACAAAGCCCTTTGTTGGGAACTGCCCTGCCTGGTTTCAGAAGCTGTAACCCCCCATGGCTAAGGCTGAGTAAAAGACCTTGGGACCATAAGCCACTATGTAGACAAAGCTTATCTTCTTGGCTGGGGTGCCACCATAAGCCACTATGGAGACAAAGCTTATCTTCTTGGCTGGGGCGCTACCTCTTCCCCCTTTGCTTCACCTTGCTTGGCCCTGGGTGGATGACTGGTTAGCCAATGATGGGTAAGATTCCTCAAGGGAAGGATGACCTAAGACAGGCACAGACATGATGGAGCCCTCAGAAGAGCTTAGGGGGCTATAAAAAAGGGGGTGATGGACTCCAGCCCTCAGCTTTGACAAAGCCTGAGTTCTCATTCAGTCTATAAGAAGTCTCCTACTCTCTTGGCTGCCTTACTTCCCCTGCCTGACTTAAGCCTGAAACAATGCCCGAAGATGGTGCAGCCCTAGGCAGGAACAAGCAGTTCCCCAGGGTGATCAGGCCTAAGAAACAATACATAAAATCCTGTGAAACATGCTTTGCTAAGAATGCCCTCAATTTTCTGACAAGGGTCCAAGCATAAAATGAGTTCATTTCCCAAACTTCATGGCCCTTTATCTATCTGACCATGACTCAGAATAAGCCCTCATAGTTCTTTGAATTTTATCTATTGTTTGATCATTACTGCCTGACAATGATTCATGAGCTTATCTGCATTCCTGTGCACATTGAACCCAATAAAAACCCATGGAGGAATAGGCTCAAGGCCTTTCTCCTTTGAGAGATTGGCAACCTTTCCTCCCCAATCAGATCATGTCTTGGTAGACTTATTCTCATCTGTGACAGCCAGGGATGCTCTGCTGGACAAAGGTCCCCAACAGACTTTATTATATGAAATATTAAAGGGATTTATTTAAGAAAAAGAGGATCAAAACTATGAACAGTAAAATGACAACAAACTCAAAACTCAACAACTGAATCTAAAAAAACAAAAACAAACTAAGCAAACACTTTAACTAGGTACAGAATCATAGAAATGGAAGTCACATGGAAGGTTATCATTGGGGAGAGGGAAGGGGAGAATGGAGGAAAAGGTACAGGGACTAAGAAGCATAATTAATAGGTATATAATAGACAAGAGAATATTAAGAATAGTATAGGAAATGGAGTAGCCAAAGAACTTATAGGCATGACCCATGGACATGAACTAAGGTAGGGGGTATTGCTGGAAGGAAGGGGAATACCCAGCTGCGTAGGGCAAAATGGAAAAAAATGGAAGAAGTGTAATAGCATAATCAGTAAAATATACTTAAAAAATAAAGATGATGTCAAAAGCAAAACTCCTGTGGACTCCAAAGTCACCTCAGGCCACATCATTCAGTCTGGGTCTGTCAGATAGACTGAACCAATTCTGAAGTGAGGAGATTTGCTTGTGGTCTGGGGAAGAATAGAGTCTAAGGTTTAGGAAGCCTGTGTGTGTATCTTCCCCTTGTGCCACTTAGAGTTTTAGGATGTTTGACAGTTTACTCAAGCTTGTTGAGGCTTAGTTTCCTCATCTATAAAATGAGAATAACAATGATACACACTTTAAAGAAATGTTGAAGAGATTATGAGATCATAAAAATAAAAGTACCTAGCCCATTACTATATGCCCTAATTGGTTGGGCACCCAGGAAGCACTCAATGAATGCAGACCACCGATGCTGATCTTTCCACTATTGCTCATGAGAATACCTTGTAAGTGTGTTATTGTAAAATGTCCTTCATTTTCACACATATGTAGCAATTAATATTTTCAAAAGAGAGCTTCTTGGTATATTTTGTGGTTGATTCCCAAAATAATACAAGAGGAAGGCAGGACAGACATGATTACCCTGATGTTTCAGTTAAGAAAGTAGAAGCTTACAGAGAAGAAGGGATTTGCTAGAATTTATCAGCTAGGACAGGGCTGGTGGGGTGTATGGCTCAGGTTCCTACCTCTAGCCCTATGGCTACAGCTCCCTGGGGAGAACTAAGAGGTGAAGAACCTTAGGGGAAAGAAGTGGGTGTCGCCTGCCCATGAGAGAGATCAGGAGGGTCCTGTTCTTGTCTGATCTGGTCTAGTCTGTTCATTTGTGTATTGCTTGGGACCATGTAGATTTTGCAACCCTCCTAGGTTGTGGTCTGAGGTTTCAAAAGCACTGCAGGAATCATGCTCCCCAAGGCCAAGTGAAAGGCTTGTTACTTCAGAACCAGCTGGGAACATTCATTTGATTAGTTGTTTGTTTAAATTTTTATTACAGAAAAATTTCAAAAAATGAAGAAGGAGAGGTAGGAATATGATGACCCATCAGTGCTGACCTCCCAGCTTCTACAACCCCATTTCATCTACACCTCTGGCCATTTTCCCTGCTCCATGATTTTGTTTAAAGAAAATACTTGGGAGATTAATAACCAATACAGACACCCCAGACTCAAGTCTAGCAAGTCTGAGATGTTTGGCTGGGATGTTTGTTCTCATCCCCACATCCCAAGTGATGTGGAAGGACAGACAACCCTGGAGCCAAAGAACTGGGTGACTCTTGAGGGCCTCCCATCTGCAAGTGTAGGATTCTGTAAGTGACACCCAGGCTGTGAGTTATGTGAAGGGAAGGGGCAAACCCTTTAGGTATGCAGGTACATGAGAGGCTGCCACGGGACGGAAGGCCCTCCACACATAGAGTGACAGGAACAGAAAGGAATGAGATTGAAGGAACAAAGCTAGTCCTCTGGGTCTGCCACAACACTCTATTCTGAGCCTGTCACCCTGCAGCCAAATGATTTGCATTATCTGCCAATTGCCTCCATTCACCTATGCCCTCCTCTTTATCTTTATTCCTCAGAACCTATCACAGTAACTGCCAACTCAGGCAAATCATGTGAAATTGCTGACATTCAACTGGATGTTACCCAGAAACTTTACATTCAAAATATCAACTTTGTGACTCCATCTCATATACAGTAGGTACTCAATAACTGTCCAGTGAAATTATAAGTATGGGCAGGATTGGAACAGCTCTGATATACCAGCTACCAAGCTAGTATTTCTGGTTAACCCAACAACAGCACAAGGATGCTATATCCCCATTTACAGATGAGGAAACTGATATAATGCATCTGGACATGTTTAACACACAGATGGTGATTACTGCATGTTCAGTGGGTGGGAATGATTATTATTGTTATTGCTCAAAGCCAGACTGCTTCCTGACAGCAGGGTCATGATTTGAACCCAGGCTTGCCTGGCTCCAATCTGGCTGCCTTGCCAGGCAGTGTCTGTCTTGGAAAAGCAGTAACCAGAGGCCTTGGAAAGTACACCCAAGTCAACAAGACCATATTATATATAATGTATTCATACAAGAACACATTAAAAATAACTTGGCAAGTCCCAGACAAGGAGTGATTTCAGGGTAAGGAGGAAAAATGAGGTAGGTTGTCTGAATTTTTTAACAGAGCACTGCAATGTTTCAAGGAGAATGGGTGCCAAGGAGAAATGCCAGTCCCTGCTGCTCTTCTTGCTGGTGCTTCCATCTACACTGAGTGCAGACAAGCCAGGTTCAGACTGGCCAACCATACAGACACTGCTGAGGCAAGACAATGGTTCCTCTTACCTCTTTGCCCTGTCTTTCTCATCTTCATCCATCAGATTTTCTGTGCAGTTTTTCCTGCAAAAGAGAACAAATGATTACTATCTGCTTCTAGCTCTTTCTTACAGGTCTTTCTGGTTGATCTCATTTTAGTCTTATCTAAGCCTTATTCCAGAGGTTCTCAAACCTTTTGGTCCAAGCAACTCTTTGCATACTCATAAATTATTGAGGAATTGAGAGAGCTTTTGTTTATGTGGATAAAAACTGAGAGATCTTAAATATATAGCACTTATTCCATTAGCTACCAGAGTAATGAATTCGTCAGATGTCAGGCAGGTAATGTGTTAATATTAGGAACTGTGTTGACATTGCAGGCCTCCTGGGGGACTCCAGACCACACTTTGAGAGCTGTTATCTTGACCCAGCTGAATGAAGTACCTGTTATCTCAGCCTTAAATCTGCAGATTTCCCTTGACATTCTAAAGGTGAGCACTGATTTGTTTATCTCTTCTTTTAAATACACAAACTTCTCTTGCAGTGCAGCCTGGAGGAATGGGAGTCCCAGAAGAGTATAGTCCACAGTTCTTTTAAGGCGCTCACAGTTCTCTAGATAGTCAAGGCACACAAGTATGAAAATTAAGCAACAATCAAGGAATTTTCTTGCAGCCCAAGTCATCAGAGGCTACCCTACCACCTGCAACTTTACACTCACAGGGCATGGTGCTCAACTGATCTGTGTGGGGAGAAGGCACATAAGTCAAGTTTCCCGTTAGCACATGCAGCAGAAGCTCCATGTATGTACTATTTTGACACACCTACTGTAGCCATGCCTTTAATATGGTTTTTGTTTTGGCTTTTTAAATAAAAATTGTGGTGAAGTACACATAACATAAAATTTATCATTTTTAAATCTACAGTTCACTGGCATTAAGTACATTCATACTCTTGTACAAGCATCACCACCACCCATCTCCAGAACTCTCTCTCCATCTTAAAAAAATGAAGCTCTGTCCATTAGAGGCTAGCTCTCCATTCCCCCACCACCAGCTCCTGGCAACCACCATTGTACTTTCTGTCTATGAATTTGACTGCTCTAGGGACCTTTTTAAGTGGAACCACACAGTAATTGTCCTTCTGTGACAGGCTTATTTTCATTTAGCATAAGGTCCTCAAGGTTCATCATGTTATAGCATGTCAGTGTTTCCTTCCTTTTAAAGGCTCAGTAATGTATACCACCTTTTGTTTATCCAGTTGTACATTGATGAACACTGAGTTGCTTCTACCTTTGACTACTGTGAGTGGTGCTTCTATGAACATGGGTGTACCTCCTCTTTATATTTTTGAGTCATTCTTTCACCTCATAATGTGGAGAAGCTGGAGGGTCCCAATGGTACACAAGGAAGAGGGTCAGAGGGAAGAAAGTCAGTCCTAGGAAGCCAGGGTAAAGAAATAATACAGAAGTTTAAGAGGTGACAGTTCTTCTCAATTGTATAAAGAGTTTCCAATGAGAAGAATTTTGAGCAAGGTTTTGTGTGTGTGTGTGTGTGTGTGTGTGTGTGTGTGTGTTTACTAGAGTACCAAGGAAGAGAAAGTGAGCTTAAATGAAGGTAGAGAAGATGCTGTTTGGAGCTGAAAAAATAACCATTGATGTGATTTAGTCCCCAGATTGAACAGTGGAGGGAAATTGTAGTCTTTACTTTGCATAACCATATATTCTAGAGGCTAAAGGAACTTTGTAAGAAGGGAGCCAAGGGAATAAATACCTCATGTCACTCTCAGGCCTCCTTAATTTTATGCCCATATCCCCTATTAGCCACATCACCCAGAAGACGGAGGCAGGAAGGCTCCTGAGGCAGAGAGGAGGGTGGCAAGAAATGCTGGAGAGGTGTGGAGGGGAACAGGGAGGAGACCCAGCACCCCTAGTAAGGTTCATTTCTTAGGTGCCCTTCCAATTCTTGGTTTCATTGACTTTTTCTAGAATACAAACTATTTGGAGTCTTTTTAAGCCTCGCTACATCTCCCCAAATTAGATGTTGGCATTTGCATTTAGCAACTAAACACTCAAGAAATAATAACTGACAATAATTATAAGAGGCAGAGGAAAAGAGCCTGGCAAAGAAGGTATCCTGGAACTATTTGAGCAACAAAATAAGTAATGATAGATTATATAAGCAATAATAGATTATGGAATAAACTAAACATTCACAAGCTCATACTGATACAAGTAAATAATTAAACAAGTAAATAATATGAAGGGGCAGGTGTCCCTTACAGAAGAAAAAAACTCTACTTAATAAATGGAGAAGGGATAAGGGAAACAAAAATCGCCATTAGTACCCCATAGTAGTAATTGTTGCAGGTATGATCCACTGATGAACACTTAAATTAATGGAAAAAATTTGAGGAGAATCAGGGCATTTGCACAGTTCAAAGTATCTCCTCAAGACATTTTTTAATTACAAAAGAAAAGTAGTAACTTTATAAGTAGAGGAGGTTGGCAGAGACACCGACTTCATTTGGGGCCAAAATTAACATCCCCACTAGCAAGTCCTGTCCAACTGTTTGGTGGAAATAAGAGTTTATTCTCTTGTGGCATATACCTAGTAGTGTAACTGCTGGATCAGAGGGTAGCCATACTACTACTGTATTAGTAACTGCCAAACTGTTTTACAAAGTGTACCAATAATGTCTGAGAGTTTCACTTGCTCCTCATTTACACTAATGGTTGGTATTGTCAGTCTTCTTGATTTTAGTTATTCTAGTGGGTGTGTTGTGGGATCTCATTAGGATTTAAATTTCCACTTCTCTGATAACTACAGAGTTGGTTATCTTTTCAAGGACTTATTGACCATTCACATGGCTTCTTTTGTGAAGTGTCTGTTCACTTTAGGCTTATTTTATTCCTTAATATCTTTTTTCCTCCATCCCTCCCTTCCTCCCACCTCCTCTTTGTTCTTCTTCTCCTTATATATACATTTTTGTTTTGAAAAATTGAGCCCTAAAAGGGTAAGTTAGTTTTGGAGTGTCATCCCAAAAAATAAGGTTGTGGGGTTCGATCTCTGGTCAGAGCACATACAAGAAGCAACCAATGAATGTATAACTAAGTAGAACAACAAATTGACATTTCTCTCTCTATCTTTCCTCCTTGCTATTTAAAATCAATAAATAGAAAAAATAGAAAAATTGGGGTGTATGTCTACAGCACAATGATTTGCACAAGTTTCTCTCTTCTGGATACAAGTAGTTTGCTAAGCAAAATATAACCAGAGACACTGAAATCAAGAACAATTAGACAGTAACCAGAGGGGAGGTGGGAGGGGATAATGGGGGGAAGGGTTTTCAGGAACAACAATAAAGGACACATGTACAAAACCAAGGGAGCGGGGTAGAAGCAAGGGATGGAGGTGGGTTTGGCTGGTGTGTGGGAGAATAGTGGGGGGTAAATGCAGACAACTGTAATTAAACAACAATAAAATAATTTAAAAACAATAAAATAAATTTTAAAAAACAAGTATTTTGCTAGATACATGTGTTGTGAGCATTTTCTCTGAGCCTGTGGCTCGGCTTTTCACTTTCTTGAGACTGTCTTTAATAAACAGTTTTCAATTTTGATGAAGTAAAATTTATATATTTTTATGTTTCATGATTTTGTATTCTAAGAAATCTTTGCCACCTCAGTGTCATGAAGAATTATCCCATATTTTCTCCTAGAAGCTTTTTATCATTTTAGCTTCCACATTTAGATCTACTGTCTATTGGAGTTAAATTTTATGTGGAAGACAGTGGTCAAGGTTCATCCTTTTCATCTCCATCTTGATACTCAGTTGCTCTAGGATCATTTACTGAAGACATTTCTTTCCCTATCAAATCGCATTGCCATTTTTGTCAAATATCATATGTGATCCTGTATGTGTATTTACAGAATCTCCATTCAGTTCCATTTACTTATTGGGTGTCTGCAGTACCCAACACACAGGATAAACTTATTTTTTAAAATAAACTTTATTTTTTATTCTGATTTATTTTTTAATCAGTATTTTTATTTTTTCTATTTTATTTAAAAATATTTTATTGATTATGCTATTACAGTTGTCTCATTTCCCCCTCTTTATTACCCTCCACCTTGCACCTCCCTCCCACCAGCATGCCCTCCCCCCTTCATTCATGTCCATGGGCCACACATGTAAATTCTTTGGCTTCTCCATTTCCCATATTATTCTTAACCTCCCCCTGTGTATTTTGTACCTACCATCTATGCTTTTTATTCCCTATAACTTTTCCCCCATTCTTCCCCCTTCCCCACCCTTCCATGTGAGCTCCATTTCTGTGAATCTGTTCCTGTTGTACTTGTTTGCTTAGTTCATTTTTGTTTTTGTTTTTGTTTTTAGGTTCAGTTGTTGAAAGTTGTGAGTTTGTTGTCATTTTACTGTTTGTAGTTTTGATCTTCCTTTTCTGTGATAAATCCTTTTAACATTTCATATAATAAGGGTTTGGTGATGATGAACTCCTTTAACTTGACTTTATCTGGGAAGCACTTTATCTGCCCTTCCTTTCTAAATTATAGCTTTGCTGGACAGTCATCTTGGATGTAGGTACTTGCCTTTCATGACTTGGAATACTTCTTTCTAGCCCCTTCTTGCCTGCATTGTTTCTTTTGAGAAATCAGCTGATAGTTGTATGGGCACTCCTTTGTACGTAATTGTCTCCTTTTCTCTTGCTGCTTTTGAAATTCTCTCCTTATCTTTAATCTTGACTAATGTAATTATGATGTACTTGTTGTATGCTTTCTTGGGTCCAACTTCTTTGGGACTCTCTGGGCTTCCTGGACTTCCTGAAAGCCTGTTTCCTTTGCCAGATAAGGGAAGTTATACTTCCCTAATAAGTTTCAATTTTTTGGTCTTCCTCTTCTCCTTCTGGCACCCCGGTAATTCAGATTTTGGAATGTTTATGGTTGTCCTGGAGGTTCCTAAGCCTCTCCTGATATTTTTGGATTCCTGTTTCTTCATTGTGTTCTAGTTGAATGTTTATTTCTTCCTTCTGCTCCAGACCATTGATTTGAATCCCAGTTTCCTT